ATGTCACTGAACTGTGCATGTAGAAATTTTTGAAATGGTGTATCTTTAGCTATGTGTATTTTCACCAAAAAAAATGTTGGGAAGTTAGAGGGTTGATATGTTGTGGGGTTGTTAACTAATGTCATAAAACAATACGTGTACTGATGTTTCATGAGAAACTATTTGTTCTGTAAGCCTTCACCTGAAGTACAATAAAAAAAAATAATTAAAAAAAAAGTACAATTAAAAAAATTATATAAAAAGAAAAAAAATCTGGCTAGACATAACCTTGCTCTAATATATCCATTTCCATAGCCTTTGATTGCTGTATAAGAAGGTGATGTATATGAAAATATTTCCTCATGCTAAAGGTATTATAATTTTGTTTTTCCCTGAGAGGCTCGATGGGACAGTGGAAAAAACACGGAACTCTAAACAGCAAACTTGGTTCTCTTCTTTGTGATCTTAGGCAAGTTGCTTAACTCCTTGGAGCTTCACCTACCGTGCATATGTTACCAGGTTGTTGTTGAGAATTAAACGCACGGTGTACATTATCAAATACAATAGAATGGTAATGATGTCTTATATTTTAGAACACAAGCCATTTTATATGTGAGTGTGCTGTGGAGGCCGATTTGGGCTGAAAGTCCTTAAAGAGAACAGCCAAAATGGAGTTTTTTTTTTTTACAAATTAACTCATCATGTAATCGCTTAACTGCTCATCGTTAAACACGTTTGAAATGGCTAGGCTCGGTGAATAAAGTGTAGTCTGTCATGTTCCAGTGATTAAAAGCAACTCTGGCACCTGGAGAAGGCCGCTTTCCTTTATGTAGTACCATTGTGGTAGCATTTGTGCTCCTCCCAGCCCCTAGAAGCCAGCCCTAGTGGTCTGCGGGCACAGGCATACCCATCTGTTCAGTAGTACAGAGCTTGACTGACATGGATGGAGCAGCTGATGATGAACTTCTGGATCTTCTAAATAATTAATAGTCTGGGCCTCCCTGCCATCAGTGTTCATGGGCGGAGGTGTATTTGTCAGAAATAGAAACACAGAGATTAAGTAAACATAAAAATTGAACATATGGAATCAACTCAGATGATAAGAAATTACAACAAAATTTAAAAGAAAATTAGTTTCTAAAAAAGCTGTAGCATAAAGAGTGCCTTTTATACAGGAAAACATAACGAGAGCAGGGCATGCGCTTTTGGACAGGGCTTTTGGGCTGCATAAACTGTGTGTATATGTAATAATAATAAATAATATACTTTGTATATTATAAATGCATTATATCTTCATTACTTGTTCTCTTTAATTTCCTTTCTCTAATTTCTATATTTGTGACTTTATTTACTCAGTTACAAATGAAAATAGAAAGATTAGGGTTACTTTATATCAGTTACACAGTGTTGAAGATGTGGGATCACTGTGTGTAGGTGGACTTATTTTCACAGAGGTGCATACTTCACATTTTTTCTTTTTTATTTGAGTGGGAGAGCTTTGGTAGGAAAAAAAATAGAAACTGTAGACTACCAGTTTGTCCTCCAGGTAACAAATCTGTTTTTTAAAACAAAACCTATTAGATCTAGTTACTACAAAACTTAGAAGTATGAAGTTTTGGAAACAGCATAGGTCAGATTCCTTTGAAACATAAATATTTCTAGTAAAAGTATAATATAATGCGGTTGCCACCCAGGGGGTTTATATCCTCTTGCACAATGAGCATTTGATTATAGTTTATATTTGCCCACATAGATACAATTCCAGGGTTTACTTCCGATTTTTTCTTTTTTTGTATTTGTAGACCTAGTTCTTCTGTATGTGGTAAATGAATGAGACGAGAAATGTGTTCTTAAAAATTTTTGATTTTTAAATATTAGATTCAGGAAAGTTTAAGAATGAAACAAATATTGTCCCTAATACTACCACATAGTGCCACTGGCAATTATTATTTTTTTCTTGAAAAAAAGGAAGAGATATACATAGTAAGAAAATTCTCACTATTAAAGATAGAAAATTTTCAGTTTCTCTTTCCAAAGTTTGCCACTGTTAGTATTTTCTTGTGTATTCTTCCAGAAAAAATGTATATGTTAACAGACATCTTACTTTTTTTTTTTTATGAAAGGGACCATATTTCTACACTCAAGAATATAGATTGCACATATAGATCTTTCCACATCAACATGTATAGCTCTACATCCATCCATTTTGATAGTTTGATGGTATCACACATAACAGTCTGTGAGTGACTTCAACAGTCTACCAACTGCTGAGCATTTTGGTCATCTCCAGTTCTTTGCTGATAAATGTTTTTGAATGCTAGAAAGTGACAGGCTGATGATTGTTAAAACTATGTATTTGATTTTATCAATAACCTTTAGTCATCGAAATGTATATATGATAGAAAATTTGAAACATGGAAAAAACGAATAGTAAATAAAAATTGTGCATTACCTCACCAACCAGAGATAAGAACCAGGAACATTCTGGTATATCTGGTCCTGTCTTTCTTCTGTATTTTTTATGTACACATTTACATATTAGAATCTACACAGTTCTGAATTCAGCTTTTTTCATTGTATGTTTTTCTGATCTTTAGAAATTCTTGGTGAGTATAATTTTTAATGGTTGCATTAAACTGTACTACTACTTTGACTAATTTATAATGTGAAATTTAATTAATTTCTATTTCTTAATTTTAGCTGGACCTCCATATACTTTGTATTTTGGTATTAAATTTTATGCAGAAGATCCATGTAAACTTAAAGAAGAAATAACCAGGTATGGTATTGACATTGCTTTTGAACTGTTACATGTATCGCATATACGAAAGACTTTATTTAAAACAAAATTGGCCTCAAACATTTGGATGTGTGTCTGCCTGCCTTTTATGATGCATCTCCTGTGAGGGTTAAATTAAAACTGACATGACATAAGGCAGATCAGTGCCTAATGATAGATGTGTTTGAAAAATGGCACGAACTTGGGTGACACAGAGTTTGTGTCTTCTGTGATGGGATATTTCTGCATCATTATTGTTAAGGATGCATTCAGCCATTTGTATTGATATAAAAGTTGCCATTTGAATTAAGAAAGGGTATTTCAATGCTTTGTTTGCATATGTAAATATAAACTTGGAAAGCCAATCATTTCTCTTTAATTGATCATAGCTTAAATATCAATCATCCAGGTGTTTCATTTATCCTCTTTAGGAAGTCTTAAGATAATTATTTTAGAATTAGTAAGGGGGAGAAAAGACCAATGTTTTATAATGTATTACTTCACCTGTGTCACCAAATATTTTATTAAGGCAGAACTTGCCATTGGTTCTGGTTATATTGTCAAAATTATCCTTGCTAATATTTGAGAGTAGATTACAAAGAGCAGATAATAGTGTATGTGTAAGAAAAATAAATTTCTATCAGTAACTCATCAGAAGATTTCTTGGGAGCAAAATTATATTAAAATTCAGTTGAGGTCCTTCATTTTGAGGTTGTCAGAAGTCTCTCTGTGCTTCAGTTTCCTCAGCTGTAAACTTGGGGATCTACCTTTCTCATAAAGTTTGTGTAGGCATTAAAGGAATAATGTATGTAAATCTCTTACACTTTTGTCTGTTTCTTAGTAAGTTCTTGATAAATGTTGTTGTTAGTTGCCATAGAGTAGGCTTTGACTCATGGTGATCTTATGTATATCAGAGGCGCACATTGCCAGGTCCTGCAACATCTTCATGATCAGTGATAGGTTTGAGTCCATTCTTAAGGCTATTGTGTCAATCCATCTTGTTGATGGTTTCCCTTGTTTTCTGTTGGCCCTCTACTTTATCAAACATGATTGCTTCATTCTTTCCTTATCCTGGCAATGCAGCGTAGTGATGTCTTAGATGGGGTTAGTTTCCAAAAGATACTTGTTTTAGTATTAAGATACACTATTTCACCTCTGTTCAGCAAGTATTAATGGTGAACAGAAATTTCTGTTCAGAATCCACTAATGGTTCATTAACAAATACATGGATTTGTATATAACGTACAACCCTACAACACATTCAATCTAAGCAGTTTTTTCTTAAGTATTAGACCAGATCATGTAGTTAAGAACCAGATGACATAGTTGACTTGCAGTTAGGGGTTATGATCTATAATTATTTTATTTTATTGCCCAGAATAAGTAGTTGAATTCAAGTAAGTTAAACGTGCATTTAATATGATATCACTTATACACTTATTTTTAGCATGTTCTGAAGATAAAGTCCTTTATTTTTTGAATATGTTAATTTTAATGGGCAGGCATATTGGGCCTGAAAAATAGAGTCAATTACATAAGATAATTGTGGCAAAAGCAAAAAAAAAAAAAAAAAAAAGTAAATATGCTCATAGGTAATTTTCACGTGTGTATAGTTTTTTTTGAAAGTCATTATTTCATACATACTGTTTGTACTTCTTTCAATATCTAACCCACTCATTTTACTCCTAAATAGTATTCCATAATTTATTTAATTATGCCTTTTGTGGATGTCTATCCAGGTTCTTTCTTTTTTTATTATTACAGCTAATGCTGCAGTGAGTCTTCTCATGCACATATGTACATATATGATGATATTGGATACAGTATTCCAGATGCTGGGAATGCTGTGTTTAGGAAACAAGACTAAGGGTGAATGGGATATGTCAGAAAGTAAAATTTCAGTTTATAAAAAAATAAATTTAATCATAACAAAATTGCAATAGCTGTTATGCTCTAAAATGTTTTCTGAAATAAACAAATTTGAGGGTCTCTGAGGTCCTGTATCTTAACAGCCACCCTTACCTGTCAGCCGGCCTCTTAACCATTTTAGCTAAGAAAACTCACTGCCTCACAAGGCAGTAAGAAATTCAATAAGAAATAAATCCCTGAAACTTCTACCATCCATACTAGGGTTTCTTTCTAGACTTATGCAGAATGAGTCTAATTCAATTCCTTTCTTTCTCTGTCAGCCCTTTAAATAATCCATGTCCTCATGAGATGTCTTAATCTTATTTTGAATTCTGATTCAAAATGTTATGACATACTTCCAAGTATTATGTGTTATTTATAGCTGTGTATATCTTCTGCATATTTGATAAGTATAACATGTGTGTGGTCAAGAAGACATGCTTTGGAGTCAGACAGGCCAAGGTTTGCATCCTTGCTGTGCCATTCACTGATTGTATAATCTTGAGAAGATTCCATAGCCTTTTAAAGTCTCGGTTTTCCGGACTGAGTCCAGTACAGCTAGATGGTGCCCGGCTACCACCACTGACTGCTCTCACTAGGATCACAACAGAGGGTTCTGGACAGAGCTGGAGAAGGATGTAGAACACAATTCTAACTCACAAAAAAAAAGACCAGATTTACTGGCCTGAAAGAGACTGGAGAAACCCCGAGAGTATGGCCCCAGACACCCTTTTAGCTCAGTGGTGAACTTATCTCCGAGCTTCACCGTTCAGCCTGGGAGTGGACAGCCCCATAAAACCAAATGAGACTAACGAGGTACAGGAGTCCAGTGACAAGGGCCAGAAGGCAGAACGGGACAAGGAAGCTGGTGATAAGGAACCCAAGGTTGAGTAAGGATATTGTTGATGTGTTGTGAGATTGTTAACCATTGTCATAGGGCAACATTTGTAGTAAGTGTTAAATGAGAAACTGTTTTGTTCTGTAAGCCTCATCTTAAGTGAGAATAACAGCACAATTGGAAGAGCGTAGTCAATGTCACTGAACTGTGCATGTAGAAATTTTTGAAATGGTGTATCTTTAGCTATATGTATTTTCACCAAAAAAACAAGGTTGAGAAGTTAGAGGGTTGATATGTTGTGGGGCTGTTAACCAATGTCATAAAACAATACGTGTACTGATGTTTCATGAGAAACTATTTGTTCTGTAAGGCTTCACCTGAAGTACAATAAAAAAATATATATGTATATATAAAAAAAAAATAAAGTCTCAGTTTTCTGAGCTGTAAAACCGAATTGTAGTATTTCTTTAAAAAGATGATGGGAGGAATATGTTAGATAATAATGCAAAGTACTTACCATAATGCAAAAAAGAGTTAAGTGTTCAATAGATGGTAGGGAAAATAATGGAAATAATAATTATTATTCTATATTTTTAAAATATTGATTAAAAATTGGGGAAGAAAGACCAAGTTGGATAGGTCTCCTGGGTTTAAGTCAATCAGAACTTTCTGGATGTAGTTGTTCATTTAACTATGAAACATCCTACAACTGTCCTCTACCTTGCATTTCTTAAATTTGTATATAAGGACAGTTTATTCACTCATTCACTCACTCATTCATTCATTGTTTCATTCAATAACCATATGGAGCACTTACTATGATCTAGACAGTGCTCTGAGTACAAAGGAAGTTCAGTAATGATCAAAGGGAGGTATGGTTTCAGTCCTCCTGAAGACACTATCTGTGATGCCACTGGTATTTTCCTGAACTTTTAAGGAACTAGCAACTCCTTCCAAAAAAGATAATGTTAGTTCTAAATGGCTTGTTCATAATTAATACTTTTTAACTTCTAAAAACAGGTGTTTGATTTCTATAGTTTGTTTTTCTACTGTTTGTTAGTATTTTTTGGGGGACTGATGTCAAGATCACCAATTATAATTTTTATAATAAATATTCATTTCTTTGTGAGGAGTCCCTGGGTGACTTTGTGAAGATAATTCGATTTAGCTTCTTTACTAGCTGGGAAAAAAAAAAAAAGCCAAATTCATTGCCGTGGAGTCCATTCCGACTCCTAGCAACCCTGTAGGACAGGGTAGAACTGCCCCATAGGGTTTCCAAGGAGTGGTTGGTGGATTCAAACTGCTGTCTCTTTGACCTTCAATTACGCATGTACTTCCTGTCTCCCTTCCCCCTTCTTTGTTAAGTGAGGATAATGGTCCTCATGTATCTCAGAGTTGAGGTGAAGGTCACATTCCATGATGGATACAAAAGGAATTTGTGAACTTTAAAAAGCTATACAAATGTAAGGTGATATTACTGAGATTTGTTTCCCTATTTTAATCACTGCTTTTTGACTTCTGAGACAGAAGTGTTATTCCTGATTGACTCTGTTACTTGAGAATTACTGAGTACTTCTGCTCTTTTTCTTCTGAGTGATACCTGCCATTTTCTGCATTATCAACATTATATTATTGTTTAAGCATTTTCCCCTGTACTTCACATTTAAATTTTTAGCGAAACTGATTAGGCACCTATCAAATGCTGTGGGTGCTGAAGACAGTTCTGTTCTTTGTTACCTTCTGTGCAGGTAGATTCTCTTTTCTTAGATTCTTCTATTTCATATTCAACTGGCACCAGAAATCAAAGTTCTTCTGTCTCCATGTGTTTTCATTTCCTCACCAGGGCCTCAAGTCATTGGAAAAGTGTGCTTCCAACATCTTTGGTGGGAGTGTTTACGGCTGTCTTTGACCCAGAGCTCTCATGGAGCCTTCTGATTTTGGCTCCTGAGCGAGCAAGGTCTCTGTCCTTTCTTCTCCTTTGCCCACTCTTCTTGCCTCCAATAACTGCTAAGGTGTTAATGATCCTCAACAACTTATCTATCCTTCGTGTCAGCTCAAAGAGCCCTGATGACACAATGGTTAAGCGCTAGGCTGCTAACTGAAAGATTGGCGGTTTGAACCCACCAGCGGCTCCATGGGAGAAAAGACTTGACGATCTGCTCCTGTAAAGATTACAGCCTAGGAAACCCTATGGGGCAGTTCTACTCTGTCCTATAGGGTCGTTATGAGTTGGAATTGACTCGACAGCACGCAACAACAGTGTCAACTCAGCTCTTTTCAGTGAACATCAGATAAATACAAAACTACAAGGCCAATATTTCAAACCTCTCGCTTGTATTGTACCAGTTGTACAGCTGTGATTAAGTGTGGATAGGAAATAAGACCTAGTGTTTTTCTCCCTGGGCTCACAATCTAGCTGGGGAGATAGTGCATAGACACCTGTATATTAATTTACATAAAAAGATAACCAGTTATTGCTTTATGAGGTTTCTACTTTATACCAGAAAATATGTTTTGGAGGGCCACATTTTTTCTCCAATACAATGTAAATATGATCACAATATAATTTATTGTCCAAACCCTGACACTGTATAATGGCATAAACTTAAACTGTCTCAGGCAAATTGAGATATAGATTTTCCCTAATTATAACCAGAGACAACCAAGGGCTCAGCATCCAGTTACAGCTTTAACTGAATGACATAGAAGGTAAGCCTCTATATCTCTGTAATTTAAATAAAATATTAAATTGTACTCTAAGTCACATAAAGTGGACAAAATAAATTATATATAATTAATTTACAGTAGTCCCTGAGATACTATGAAGTATTTGTTTAGAATATAAAATATAATTTTACTTTATCATAAATTTGTCTTTTATGAAGCTAATCAGATGCTTGCTATAATAAAGATTAATTAAATTCTTAATTAAATATAGTGTACTTGCCTTTTTGAAATTTTAGTGGGGCTTTTGAAGCAGTGATTTAAATATCTCTGTTATCTTTGAAAGATGGTCCAAGAAAGTTTCAACAGATGTCTCTTTTCTTTTTATTCATGAATTTCTCAGAGATAGCAAGGAATGTTCTCAGTTTTTCCATTTCCATCCGTCTATCTGTTCATCCATTTATCCATTCATTAAGTCAACAGATGTTTATTGAGCAGCTGCTATGTGCCAGGACCTATATACTGGGAATACAGTCACCAATGGGATATGGTACCTTTTTCTCTGTCTGTCTTTCTGTCTATGTTTCATCTTTGTCTTTGTTTCTTTATCTCCACTGTTTCTGTTTCCCTTTCCCTTTTTTTTCTCTTTCTCTTGCTCTTAATTTGAAGCAAACTTCTGTGGGATCAGGTCCTTCAGTTTATGTAGTCAGCAAGGGATTCGACCATCCAGTCAGATGTTATAAAAAGTCTTATTACAAGAATAATAAGAATAATGCATCTGTAACCCACTTCTTTTAAAAAACAAAACAAACAAATAAGCAAAAAAACTTCAGAAAAAGAAATTCCAAGTTATCAGTAGAGAAAGAGGGTAGTCAAACGCAAGTCTCCAGCAAGTAGCAGCAATTCTTGCGAAATGTCTATTTTAGAAGCTTTTGCATTTAAGTTTCTTGATGTCACTTTACTCTTCTTTTCTACTCTCCAAGAGGAGCACAGATTATCACTACAAAGTGGATTTGGTGTCTCAGATGAGAGCACAGAACATTCAGTGTATGGAGGATAGTGATGTAGGACTGGAAAAGTGAGTGTAAATTGGGGGGAGGAGGATGATCAGTGGCAAAAGGTTTGGCTCAAGTAGTAAGCAAAAGTCTTATGAGCTATCTTAAGGAGCTTGAACTTTATCCTGATGGCTAAGGAGGTGGCATGATCCTATATGTCTGTTAAGAATCCTGTTTATCTCTTAGGAAGGTTGTTTAGAAGGGAGGTAGGTATGGAAGATGGCAGATAAGTAAAGCCTGTTAGGAAGCAGTTCTAGAAATCCAGGGAATAGTAACCTGGACTAGGGGTTGGAGAGAAGTGTATGGATTACAGAAACAGCAGAGCTGGTGATTGATTGTGGGGCTGAAAGGATGGCAGGGTGGTTATGCATTGTTCCTGTGTTCCTCTGACTGGGCATCTGGAGGCTGGTGGTACCCTTTACTGAAATGGGCATTGGGAAAACACAGAGCATTGAGCAAGTCTTCACTCAAGCCTTATATTCGCAATCAAAGTTGATCTTAATCTTCTAGAAATAATCACTGTAACATCTAACAATCTGGATTCCCTCACTAACGGCTGTGAGCATTTGGAGAAGTGAAGTTTATCATAGCTGATTTTAAAAATTCACTTCCTTTGCTTTTTTCTTCCCTTCCCAATGACGGCAAGAGCTACCTCGCAAGGAAAGAGAAACCATGAAAGGACAGCCTGGAGTGTCAGCGTGCGTGTGTGTGTGTGTGTGTGTGTGTGTGTGTGTCTGTGTGTGTGTAATGGTGGCCGAGGATGGCGTTGCTGGTTCGTTGTATTGGTTCATAAACCCTGGCCTCTCTTATCCTACCGGCAGAAAGCCTGAATAAAGAAAAAAGCTAGTCAAAGTAAAAGCTAGTCCAAGTTGCATAGCATCCTGATTGAGAGAGTTTTAGGGTCCGATTGCCAAGGTTCCAGTTCTGGCTTTGCCACTAAACTAGTTGTGTGAGATCTTGGATAAATTACTTCATCTCTCTGTGTCTCAGTTTCCTCATCTGTAAAGTAGAGATGTTAATAGTACTGCCCTCATTTTGAAAACTTATGTAAGTTATAGTATGTAACTTACTTAGAATGAGTTATTATCTTTATAATGTTGGAACAGTGTGTGGCACTGTTTCTTTAGGCAGCATGGAATGAAAAAGCTGCAGACAATGGGCAGGGTTTTAAGTGGGAGGATTAATGGAATTACACTATGATGACCTTTTCATCCTGTCGACATGATTTTAGTGTGTGTAGATAACATTTGTAATATACATTGGGTCTTTGTGATTTGTTCCTCCTGGTAAGAGCATGTCAGTAGTAGTGGCTGTAATGGTAATAATAATAGAGATAATAGCTTATATTTAACCTTCATATCAGGTAAGGAGACTGGCTTTAAGTGAGGTTAAGCAGCAGCCCAAGGCCACAGAGCTAGTGAGTAGTAGGGCTGGAATGCAAGCCAGGCAGTCTGACTTCAGAGCTGTACTTTTAACCACTACCCAGTAAGGTATGTTCAGACAGTCCCTGTTCACTCAACAGCCACCTCGAAAAAGAGTGGAGAGTGGCTTTATTTTCATTAAAGGTGATTGTATGTTACCTGGATTATCAGGGTCTGAAACTTCAGGTTTGGATAGTGTAGGATATCATTAATCTATTTTTTCCATTTCTTTTTTAGATATCAGTTTTTCTTGCAGGTGAAGCAAGATGTACTTCAGGGCCGGCTGCCCTGCCCCGTAAACATTGCAGCTCAGCTGGGAGCTTACGCCATCCAGTGTAGGTTCTGCTTAAGCATAATTGCTTCAGAAATGTCTGGAGAAAAATAATTGAATTTTTTTGTTGTTGTTGTAAAAATAAAGATAACATTTGCCATTTCAACATTTTTCATGTGTATAATTTAGTAACACCAATTACATCAATAATGTGCAACCATCACCAATGTCTGTTGCCAGATTTTTCATTACCCTAAACAGAAATTCAATGCTTCCTAAAAAAATGATTCTGCCTTTCTCCCTCCCTTCCTGCCCTTGGTACCCAAAAAAACCCAAACCCGTTGTTGTAGAGTTGATTCCAACTCATAGTGACCCTATAGGGCGGAGTAGAACTGCCCCATGAGGTTTCCAAAGCTGTAATCTTTATGGAAGCAGACTGCCACATCTTTCATCTGCAGAGTGGCTGGTGGGTTCGAACTGCTGACCTTTCGGCTAGCAGCTGAGCACTTTAATCATTGCACCACCAGGGCTCCTTCTGCCCTTGGTAACCACCGTTAAACCTTGATCTCTATACATTTACCTATTCTAGACATTTCATATTAGTGAGGCCATATAATATTTTTCCTTTTGTGATTGACTTAGCATAATGTTTTCAAGGTTCATCCATGTTGCAGCAATTCCACTCCAAGATATATACACAAGAGACTTTTCAAACAGATGTATGTCCACCAATGTTCGTTGCTGCACTGTTCACAATAGCCAAAAGGTGGAAACAGCCCAAGTGCCCATCAACAGATGAATGGATAAACAAAATTTGGTTTATATATACAATGGAATATTACTCAGCCATAAAGAGAAATGATGTCCTGATACATGCTCCAACATGAATTTTTTATTTTAAGCAAGTATATATACTAATAATCTTCTTATCAAATGACACTTGGCCAAAAAAAAAAAAGAAAATTGAATTTAGTCAAAATGCAAGTTTTAATCAGTGTCACTTCAGAAGGGGTAAAAATGGAACCATTAACGTGTTCTGTATTGCAGGTTGTATGGATTTTTAGTCTCAGGAATAGCATTCAATTCTTTATTAACTGGAGGGGGGGCTGAAGATATTTTTTGTTCTATGTCTTGCTTCTGTTCACTGATCTCCTGAGCTGTTATGTCTCAGAGATCATGTTGCTTCAGCGCAACTGTGGTGAAGACCCCACACGGTCCGGTGCAGATGCCAGGTTCAGAGTGTGGCACACATCTGGTGCTCAGTACACTTTAGTTCTTGGCACCCATGCGTTGGCCATGTGGGGGCAAACCCTGGCTGCATTATCATTTTGGAAACAAAGAAACAAAAACAGTTGCTGTTGAGTTGACTCTGACTCTTGAGGGCCCCATGTGTGTCAAAGTAGAACTGTGTGCCACAGGATTTTCAGTGGCTGGTTTTTTGGAAGTAGATCACTAGGCCTTTCTTCCAAGGCACCTCTGGGTAGACTTAAACCTCCAACCTGTTGATTAGCAGCTGAGTGCATAACTGTGCCACCCAGGGACTCCTTTGGAGACTAAAGTGGGGAGTATTTCCACTGATAGTTACTGAGCACCTGCTAAGATCAAGCTAGGTGGGGAGGAAATGAGACAGCATGGTCCTTCCTCTTGTGGCACTTGCAGACCAGCAATAATCTAGAAAAAACATTCTAGTGAAAATATCACGTCGATGAACTGGACCAGGTCTTGGAAGGCGGTTAACGTAGGGAGGAGAATTTTTATAAGAGATAGTGAGTTTTCTGGTTTTATTTTTCTTTGTATAAACTGTAATGGGGTCACATGTAGCAGTATATTACATTTCCATGACCATTATTTGGGGCAAATATATTTTGAATCATATGCACTATCTCTTGGTGTCATTATCGGAGAGAATATATTGAGGTCATGGTTGTTTTTCACCTCTAGCATTTGTAATATATGTATTCCAAATTCTGTTTACAACTTTTCAGTTCATATAACTGATAAGAATAATTTACATTAAAATGATGGTAATTATATTTTTTGGGAAAGCAAAAATATAGAACTTATGTTTTTAAGTCCGGATTTTGTTTATACCATCCATATATATGTTCATCAAAGGTGTTTTACTAAAGATATTTTGATTATTATCTTATATTTGAATTTATTAATAACCAGACATTTGAAGAAAAATGTTCAAGCATTATAGGAATATTTCCAACTCTTAAAATGGAAAAAATCAGTTTTTTTTCTGTTTTTTTAGCTGAACTTGGAGACTATGACCCATATAAGCATACTGCAGGATACGTGTCAGAGTACCGTTTTGTTCCTGATCAAAAGGAAGAACTTGAAGAAGCCATAGAAAGGATTCATAAAACCCTGATGTAAGAATTACATTTTATGTTGCATTATCCACCAATCATTTTCTTATGCTATTGGCAGGCATAAGAAAAATTTCTAGAATGATAAATTCTTCACCTCTGCCTTGAACCTTCTAGTACTCATTTTCTTTTTATAGTTTCTTTACTGTTTATAGCACTAAAATGCTCATAGAAAACTCAATTTATAAAAGTATAGAGAAGAAAGCAAATCCTAGTACCTAAAGACATCTGACATGATATTTTTGTTTAATAACCTTTCAGATCTCTCTCTATGTGTAATTTTCCCTAGAGAAAATTTATTTTATATAGATTTATGTATCACAATTTCCAAATGTTAATTAAAGCATTTTCAAACCACATACATGGCTCAGGTGATGTGACCCCAGTTGGATTGGAGGGGGCCAGTTCTCTTCCCTGCCCCTACTGCTCTAGTTCCCTTCCTTCTCATGGAGAGCTGCTGGTGCATGAAGACGTTTTACTCTTTGTAAAGGGCACACTTTTTGATTTGAGTGCTTATGTTCTCACCAACTTCTTTGGGGGGTTTTGAAACTGAGGATTAATATATGCTGGGACATTGGGGATTGGCTATAATGAGTAAAAGTAGATTTGGTAAATGAAATTAACTTAATGTAAGTATTACCTTAGAGAATAAAATTTTGTCACCAAGAAGGCAGGGACCTTCCTGAAATACAAAGACTTAACATATGCATTAGCACAAAGGATTATTTATTTTTCCAGTAACTATAATGAAGATGGTTTACATTCCTTATGAGTGCAGTAGCTATCAGTAAAGTAAGACTCTTTGTTTTTATGCTGGGGATAGGGGTCAAGCTCCTTCTGAAGCTGAGCTGAATTACTTGAGGACTGTCAAGTCGCTGGAGATGTATGGCGTTGACCTCCATCCCGTCTATGTGAGTAACATTTAATTAACACAAAATATTTTAAGCTGATGATGTTTTTCTTAAAAAGTCACGGAGACTTCCAAAGGAAAGCTGCAGTCATGTTGTTTAGCAAGACGATGATACTTTTTCATCTGTGTTTTTCGAACACAAAGCGTCTCTTGTGTGGATTAAACCCTAATGAGTTTTGCTTAAGTCTGTGATTATATTTCCATGTGTAGAAAGCAATTAACTGGGCTTGAAAACGCAATCTGGATAACAGCTCCAAAGGGCTTAATCTAAACATCCAAACAATTTAAAATTGGTCTGTAATTGATTGTATTAGACAGAAAACATGAGGATTTTCCAAAAATAGATTTTATGGCTGAAAAACATTCATAAAATGGCTTGCCAAGTAAAGTAGGCATTAGGCAGCTGTCCAAGGTATAGCTCTTGGTGGCTCTATGTTGGATGTTCAGTTCTGTCGATTTTAGGGTTACTACCTATACCGTAGGTATCACTGTGCTAATAGGAACGTTTTGCAGATTTTCTTCAGTGTCTGATGAAAACTTGCCAAATATAGTCAGAGAGCAATTACAGTGAATCTGCATGAATGTTCTGGATCCAGGCCTTAGACTTTGAGCCAGTTGTCTAAAGCTAGTAATTGATTATTCTGTGCCAGTGAGATTGTAATGCCATTGCCTTTGATTTTATATGAGTTTAGTTAGTAGTAGTCACATTTGATTATTTGAGAAAAGGAGTCAAGTGCCTTACTGTTTACAGGAAATGAATTGCTAAAGATTACAGAAAGACTGAATTTGTTAGCTGGATTATGGAGCTCAATTTTTAAGGAACCTTGATAAAACTTCCCGTAATGCAAGTAACTCAGTCATGCATTCATTCATTTTGCTCATCAGGGTTTCCTAAAACAAGAAATCATCTCACATTATTTTAAAGAGTTAGAAGCATTCCTGGGTTTGCAGTTAATTTGGTGATAAAAGTCACAGATTTTGGGGAAGTAGCACTTCCCTGATATATTGGACCCCAATCTCATTAGATTCTACATATTATTGTTTGTTTAGAATACCTCTAAAACTTTTCCCTCCCAGCCACATTAATCTTTTAGGTTTCCAGTGTTTTTTGTTGTTGGTTTCCTTTAATATTCTATAGGAACCTTATAAAGAGAGATTCTCCTGCGTAATGCTTCTGTATTTGTGTAATGTTTATACTAATTCATAAACACTTTTTGTGGGTGATGTAAATTTATGGCAAATGAACTAGATTCATTAGAATTGTCCATACATTCCTTTAAGATTGAATTTTTGGAGCTGAAAATGGCCAACAGCTGAAATTCTTCGAAAGCATACTAGTTGTCTGATATTCCTTGAGAATATAATTTTGCAAACTGTTATTTGACCCGAGACTAGAAACATCATTAATACAAGGAGGCAGTTCTGTACATGTCCTTGGTGCCCACTCTATTTGTGATTTTTTTTGTTGTTGTTGTTTTAGAATCCTGTTTTCTTCATTGGGATTTATCACTGCCTGGAAATTAAGGGTCTCTAGTCTTAGAAACCTTAGGAAACCCTGGTGGCGTAGTGGTTAAGTGCTAAGGCTGCTAACCAAAATGTCGGCAGTTTGAATCCACCAGGTGCTCCTTGGAAACTCTATGGGGCAGTTCTACTCTGTTCTATAGGGTCGCTATGAGTTGGAATCGACTCGACTGCAGTGGGTTTGGTTTTGGATTGAGTAGTCTTAGAAAGGAGCCCTGATGGCATTGTGGTTAACAGTTGGGCTGTTAACCAAAAGGTTGGCAATCTGAATCCACCAGCTGCAACTTGGAAACCCTATGGGGCAGTTCTACTCTGTCCTATAAGGTCTCTATGAATCAGAATCGACTCGATGGCAATGGGCTTTGTTTTGTGTTTTAGTCTTAGAAAAATGTGGCAGTCTGCTTCCATAAAGATTACAGCCTTGGAAACCCTATGAGGCAGTTCTACTGTGTCCTGTAGGATTGCTGTGAGTCGGAATCAACTCAAAGGCAATGGATTTAGTCTTTGCCAGAAGAGATTATCTTTTTACTTTTTAGAAGTCTTACAAATCACAAGTAAAAGATGGAAGGAGCATATTGGAGACCTATGAAAATCCCAGTGTGACTGCTTACAGCTGTCTGAATTTTCTGGAGAGGGTAGTGGTGGCGACCAGACCTCACAATTGCCCACATCAGAGAATGAGATCCAGCTGAACCACTAGGGAGACCCTTGATAAAAGCCAATGGTTTTCAATCCTTGTCTGCTCAGGAGAATCGCCTGGAGCTTTTTTGTGCTTTTGATACCTAGGCCTCATCACCAGAGATTCTGATGTCATTGGTTTCCATAGCACCCAGGCATCAGCAGTTAAAGCTGCACAGGTGATTCCAATTAATGTGCAGCCAGGGTTGAACACTACTGACATAAGCAACATGGGGTGAGACATTTAGTGGTCAGATTGGCAGACCAGATTCCTTTTAATTAGCTGCAGTTATAAGTATGAATTAATATTAAGACAGAAAAGTTTTCTTAAAAACTTTGAAAAAAATGAACAACTTAGATACTAGTATAACTTAGCTATTTAAGTTATCAAGGATTTAATTTTACTTGGATCCCCAAGCAATGCCCATGGAAGCAGCAGTCAAGAAATCAAATGACATATTGCACTGGGCAAATCTGCTGCAAGAAACCCCTTTAAAATGTTGAAAAGCAAAGATTTCACTTTCAAGACTAAGGTGTGCCTGACCCAAGCCATGATATTTTCAGTTGCCTCATACTCATGCGAAAGCTGGGCAATGAATAAGGAAGATCGAAGAAAAATTGATGCCTTTGAATTATGGTATTGGTGAAGAATATTGACTATACTGTGGACTGCCAGAAGAATGAACAAGTGTGTCTTGGAAGAAGTACAGCCAGATTGCTCCTTGGAAGCCAGGATGGTGAGACTTCATCTCACATACTTTGGACATGTTATTAGGTGGGATCAGTCCCTGGAGAAGGACATCATGCTTGGCAAGGTAGAGAGTCAGTGAAAAAGAGGAAGACCCTCAGTGAGATGGATTGACACAGTGGCTGCAACAATGGTCTCAAACATAGCAATGATTGTGAAGATGGTGCAGGACCAGGCAGTATTTTCGTTCTGTTGTACATAGGGTTCCTATGAGTAGGAACCGACTTGACGATACCTAACAACAACAACAGCTGACATCTTTCAAATATTAGATCCAATATTAATATAGCAAAGTATGTTTGCATGGCCTTTTGCAGTTTGGCAAACAGCTTTTGCATGAATCAATTCATAGTTATGTGTTTGTTTTTGCAGGGAGAAAACAAATCTGAGTATTTCTTAGGATTAACTCCGGTTGGTGTTGTTGTCTACAAGAATAAAAAACAAGTTGGCAAGTATTTCTGGTAGGTACAACTTGAGGGCAGAGTTAGTATTAAAGTTATAAACTGTATATATTAGGTTTATGGGACTTTTGTTTCAGTGAATGGGTTGGGAAAAAACATCAGGTGCATTTCCAGTGGTTGATAAATAAATGAGTGAAATTGAGTATAAGTTTTCTCCCAATACAGCGTGGTATATATTTTCTCTATAAGTTTCACGTGCTATGATTCTAGACTCTTTTGCCCATGAATGCAGTGTGTAGTAGGATTTCCTACCATTCCAAGGCCTGTCTGGACACCTGTGTTCTGGTGCGCTGTGGGCTGAGGATGACTCTGAGTTCTAGCTCTAAATGGAGAAGGATCTGGGAGAGACTGGAGAGCCTATGACCCTCTACTATGCCTGGGAAGGCAGTACTTCCAGAGCCTGGGAACTTGCTAACCAGAAGGTTGGAGGTTCAAGTCCATCTAGAGGCACCTTCAAAGAAAGTCCTGGTGATCTTCTTCCAAAAACTCAGCCATTGAAAACCCTATGGAGCAACAGTTCTATTCTGACATGTATGGGATCACCATAAGTTGGAGTCAACTGGTTTGGTTTGGTTTTTTGGCTATGCATTTAGTGGAGGAGAATGAGAACAGAATTTTGTTTAGGAAGATGTCCAGAGCAAAGTACATAGAACTCTCTACAATCAACGAAGCAGTATATAAAGAAATCACTATTAAACAATCTTTTTCCATTGGATACTTCTCTGAATTTCTGAAAGATTAATTCTTAACAACAACAATAACAAACATTTACTTTGTTTTTCAGGCCTCGGATTACAAAGGTTCACTTCAAGGAGACTCAATTTGAGCTCAGAGTCCTGGGAAAAGATGTAAGTTTTTGTTTAGCACTTAGCCAAAGCAAGAATTGAAGTCTTACCTGCTCATTTATAACTTAGAATACACCATGAAACAACCTACCAGGTTTTCTTCAACTGCAGCCACATGGAACCAGGTTCATTGACTCAAGCACAACTTCCCAAGGAGGGGAAAGGGAAGTGAGTAGAAATGAATGAGATGGCAATGGAGAAATAACATTTTAGTTTTAGCAAAGGAAAAAAATCTTTCTGAGGCAGAGGAGAATAGGAGGTGATTATTGTTATTAATTAGTCAAGTATCATTATTAGAAGGAACCCTGGTGGCACAATAGTTACGGATTTGGCTGCTAACAGAAAGGCTGGTGGTTTGAACCCACCCAATGGCTCTGTGATCTGCAGTCTGCTCCCATAAAGATTGTTGTTGTTGAGTGCCATCGAGTTGATTTGGACTCATAGTGCGTTTTTGACATAGTAGAACTGTCCCATAGGGTTTCCTAGTCTGTAATCTTTATGGAAACAGATTGCCAGTTCTTTTCACTGGTGGAGGGCTGGTGGGTTGGAACCCTTTTTTGGTTAACCATTGTGCCACCAGGGCTCCTTCAGTAAAGATTACAGCCTAGAAAACCATATGTGGAAGTTCCACTTTGTCACATGGGTTTGCTGTGATTTGAAAATTGACGGGATGGCACCCAACAATAATAATAATCATTATTCGCGTAATTTGCTGTTTAATACTGTCTATGAAAGTAGGATTCATATTATAAGGGTACAGTCTGCATACAGGATAAAAAGTGCCCTAATTTTGCTCTAAAGTAAATTAACAGACTGTAGGGAGTAACACTTCTGCTCTTTCCCTTGTTGAGCAAGGTAGATAAACCAGATGGGAAATTCTAGATGCTTTCAAGGGAAAACGTCAGGTGAAGGTGCAAAATGCTGACTTTTGCTCTTCAACCTGGCAGCGTGCTCCAGGATTGTGTGGGTAATGGGCACTGTATTTGTCCGTGCATGGAGGTGCTTCTATGCCTTGACAGGTAGCTTGTAGGGAACTGGGCAAAAGAAGGCAAGGATGTAAAAGTTTCTTTTTAATCTATCTGTGAAAATAATGCTGCCTTGAAGTGCTATTAGAATAGTCCATATGTCTGTCTGATAAATGAGAGTAAATATGATATAAGAGAATCCACCCTTCTGTCTCTTTATATAGAACAAAAACTAAGTGTATAGAGTTGAATTGACTTGCTTTCTGATGAGATGTTTGTAGTAATAAATAAATGAAAATTATGCTCAGCTTGTGGATCCACAATTTGAGAGATAGGAAAGGCACAGCTACAACTATGGTTGGAGCATGGAATTGGGCACAGTGCCTCACATGTAGTAGGCACTCAACAAATAACTGTTGAATGAATCAATCTACTGAGAGTATGTACTGCCTAATCAGAAAATGTGATATTATTATTTGTCCTCCTTGGAAAAAAAAAATCATGCCACCCTGAACAATAAATGTTTCTATTTATTGATGAAATTAGCATTGAATTTTTTTAACTGAGTTTTAAAATTGTAAAGAGAGGGAATTCCAGCTTTTTAAAAGAAATGATAGTCCAAAAAACTGCATAGTTGCCCTTTACTGTCCAGTTTGGAGAAACTTCACAGTTATCTTCATCCCTGATTAGAGATGTCGGTCTTAAAAGATGTGCTAATGTAAGATGGGATCAGTGGTAGGATTAAAAAAATTATTCACAAAAGTAGAATAGCTAGATAGTAGAATTGTATAATTCTCCCTCCCCACCCTATCCTACCACTGGTTTCATAGGATTTTTTTTTTCCATATTTGAAGTTTTTTAGAATTGCTCTTATAATGGTCTAAGTTTTGGGCAAAACCTAGAGATTTTTGCCAGATAATTTTTATAACACTGAGCAGGACAATACAAGGAGTAAAGTCTGTTAAGCATATTGAAAATAATGTTTCAAGTTTTTAGAAGAATATGATAATAAAATGGTGAGTCTTCTAATGGAAGAGTACTATTATTGGAAGTATTTTTTTCCTTTTATACATAAGTCATTTTTTGTGAGTAGGGTCCTTTGGGGAACTTCTTTTATGTTATCATTATAGTACCTTAAAGTATCCTCTTCTGTCTCAGGATTGTTGTTGTTTTGGTTAGTTGCTGTTGAGCTGGTGCTCATTAGTATATGGTAAAATCAAATCTAACCAGAATGTTCAACTTCTTAGACTTCTTGATTATTAGGAGAAAACAACAACAAAATGAATATTACAGTGTCATTTTTTAATGGCAGCCTGTGTGGTAGGACACATTCAGTTTAGTCCTCAGTCCCTTTCCATCTCTGAGATGGAATCGGTATTCGGATGTGGCCTGAAGCACTGCACACTCTGGCTTAGAGTCAATGATCTGTAACCTGTAGCCATCCAGTTGATTCAGACTCCTAGGGACCCTATAGGACAGGGTAGAACTGCCCTGTAGGGTTCCCAAAGGCTGTAATCTTTACGGAAACAGATTACCACATCTTTCTCCCGTAGAGTGGCTGGTGGGTTCCAACCAAGACCTTTTGGTTAGCAGCTGAGCACTTAACCACTGTGACACCAGGCCTCCTTCAGTGATCTTTAGTGAGGTGGAAAAGCAGTTCCCGTAACCTAGAGAATCGAACCGAAGGGATTTTTATTATTACTATTATTAAGTAGCACATTAATTTAACCAAAGCACTGCATTTCCTGGGGATTCTTGCTTGCAGGATGTTTTTTTCTTTTTCCACCAGGGCACCTCTTGGGTGAGGCAGTGATTTACATAATGGTAGAATTAACTTGATTATTATGGAGGCCTAACTGTAATCACAGATTGAATGAAAACCCCCCTAAAACCCATCACCTGGAACAGTAATCACATTCAGCTTGAAAAATGGTTGAAATGCTTATTCTGCTGGTTTTCTGGTCTGCTGGTTTGGCTGAGAGACTTAACTCAGTATGTTCAATGCTGTTAGGGCTAAATTCAGAGATTCAGTTCCCAAATGAAAAGACAGTGTCCTATGGATTAAAAAAAATTTTTTTCTTGATATTTACTATACCACTAACACTGTCCAACTCCTTTATTGGTATTAACTATTCCCACTATAACATAATAAGTACTGATAACATGTTAACATATACTATTTATTTATTCATATATCATTTTGCATCCATGAATAATAATTACATCTGTCATAGATACAAATAACGTAATGAATTCAATGATTCAACTTTTTAGAGAGACACAAATAGTTGTCTACAGTTAAATATTGGTTTTGCAAAAATTTGTGCCTCTGACAAAATAGGCCTTGTGTTTAACACAATACTTCACAGGAAATCTAACATTTTAATAAAAAGGTCTTAGATGCTGACTGTAGAAAATCTAGAAAATGCACAGCAAAGAAGAAAATTTAAATTACCCATTATCCTAAAATTCAGAGGTAATGATTGTTAATATTTTTGCACAATTCCTTTCAGATTTTATGCTTTTCCAACAACTGTATAATCTATGTATACCTATATGAAGGAGCCCTGATGGCACAATGGTTAAGTGCTTGGCAGGTAACCGAAAGGTTGGTGATTCGAGCTCACCCAGTGGCTCCAAGGGAGAAAAGACCTAGCGATCTGCTTCCATAAAGATTATACTCTAGGGCCCAGAAAAACCCATAGATGATACCCAGCTACCACCAACAACCTCTCTGACAGGGATCACAATAGAGGGTCCTGAACAGAGTGGGAGAAAAATATAGAACAAAATTCAAATTCACAAAAAAAGGACCAGACTTACTGGTCTGACAGAAACTGGAGAAGCACCGAGACTCTGGCCCCCAGATGCCCTGCTAACTCAGAACTGAAGCCGCTCCCAAAGTCCACTTTTCAGCCAAAGATTAGACAGGCCTATAAAACAAGCAATGGCACACATGAGGAATGTGCTTCTTAGTTCAATCAAGTATATGAGACCAAATGGGCAACACCTTCCCAAAATCAAAGACAAGAAGGCAGGAAGGGACAGGAAAACTGGACTAATGGACAAAGAGAACCCAGAGCAGAAAGGGAAAGGGGGAGAGTGCTGACACATTGCGGGGATTGCAACCAATGTCACAAAAGAATTTGTGTATAAATTTTTGAATGAAAAACTAATTTGTGCTGAGAACTTTTACCTAAAACACACAAATACACAAAAGATTACATCCTAGGAAACCCTATGGGGCAGTTCTACTCTGTCCCATGGTGTCACTATGAGTTGAAATCAACTCGATGGCACCTAACAGTAACAACATACCTATATGTGCATGTCTTAGTTATCTAGTGCTGCTGTAACAGAAATACCACAAGTGGATGGCCCCAATACAGAAGTTTATTCTCTCACAGTCTGATAGGCTAGAAGTCCAAATTCAGGGCATCAGCTCCAGGGGGAGGCTTTCTGTCACTCTGGGTGAAGATCCTTGTTATCAATCTTCCCCTGGACTAGGAGCTTCTTAGCGCAGGGACCCCAGGTCCAAAGGACACACTCTGCTCCTGGCACTACTTTGTTAGTATGAGGTTCCCCTGTCTCTCTGCTCACTTCTCTCTTTTATATCTCAAAAGAGGTTGACTTAAGACACAACCTAATGTTGTAGATTGAGTCCTGCCTCATTCACATTTAAGTGCCACTAATCCCACTCCATTAACATGATAGAGATAGGATTTATGACAAAATGGTGGACAATCACACAATACTGGGAATCATGGCCTAGCCAAATTGACACACATTTTTGAGAGACACAATTCATGATAGTATGTCATTCCTTATATGATTTTGTACATAGCTTTTATACTTAACATCATATCAATAAGCATTTCTCCTTATTTTATTATACTTATTCATATGTGTGGAAACCCTGGTGGTATAGTGGTTAAGAGCTACAGCTGCTAACCAAAACGTCGACAGTTCGAATCCACCAGGTGCTCCTTGGAAACTCTATAGGGTAGCTCTACTCTACCTTATAGGATCACTGTGAGC